CCTGGCTTGCTCCTCTGCCAGCCAGAATAGGACCCAACACAGCCTCCTTCATTTGTTCTCCTTTATGAAACCTCAGGAGGTTTTCTGAGGATTTTTACATTTGTGTAAAGATCAGAGTAAAAGAAAGAACATGGCAAAGTTCCCTCAAATGTCCCTTATCTGCTGACCCTGTTGTTAGAATTACAAGCAGAGCTCCACCCTTATTTCTCTCACCTCCATGCCACTCTAGACTTGTTCCCCAAGGTCCTACCCCTCCCCACCCCCCCACATTTCTGGGAGACACCTCTTCCTCTGGGCCTCATAATGGGTGACCCAGCCACACATACCAGAAAAGGTAGTTTTTATGCACTAAAGAGCAAAGCAATATACCCAGACGGCACTGGCTTCTCCAACCTGCGGAGGCCAGGCACCCTTCTAATACCCAAATAGCAAGCATTTAAGCCCCCGGTCCCTGCTGGTCCCTGCTGGCTCTTAAGTCTGGTGTCCCCAAGGCACCTCCCCAACTTCCCCGATCTGCTCTGGGCACTGCTCTCGGGTGAGTTTCCCCAGTGAGAGCCGAGGCATGGCTGTCACACTTGGCAAGTCTCTCCTGAGGGCTGGGGAGAGCAGGAAGAAGGCACAGGGCAGAGGCCGTAAAGCAAAGTGTACACAGGACTCTCTCTCCTTAGCAATTCCCCACCCCCACCCAGCCCACACCCTGTCACAGTGGCCAGCGTATCTCCTCCAGACCAGGCCCAGGAAGCAGGACAACATTCAGGCACCTGAGAGATTCACCCACTAGGACCACAGCCATGCTGGGAACATGGGCTCTGGGAGTCAGACTTCTCCATTCCCAGCCAGCACCTTGCCTTTACCTTTGTAGAGGAAGCCGACTCAAAATGAGTTTGGGGAGGTCAGCAGGGCCAGAGGGCGCAGGGTGGTGAAGGCACATACAGAGGCCAGCGCTGAGCCACCCAGAGTCCCTCCCCACCACCTCCCAGGCTCTTGACTCACTGGCCTCCTTCCAATTCCTCCAAAAGGCCAAGTTCTTCCCTGCCTCCAGGTCTTTCCACACGTCACTCAGTGAACTTCCACTCATCCTTCAGATGATAACTGAAATGTCGGGGGCTGTCCCTCCCCCGCCCGCCCCACCTAAATTACACTCCTTTCATAACCCCCTGTGACAGATCCGTTCAGTTGTCAGATGCTGCCTCTCCTGGGCGCTCGTTCCATGGAGGCAAGGCTCTGTCGGACTTTAGAGTTCACTCGGGTGCCTGGGTGCGTCATTGATTAAGGGACCTCATAGTGGAGGCAGGGGACCAGTTAGGAGGACACTGTGGCTGACCACACGGGAGAGGACAACTGCGGAACCAACACGGCGGCGGTGGAGATGCAGAGAAGTGAATCCTGACGTTAGGACCAGAGGGAGTTGTCCAAGCAAAGGGGTGGGGGTGGGGGTGGGGGAAAGACCCAGTACGCAGGAACATGGGAAGAAATGGGCTCTTCTCAGGGCCAAAAGGAAATGAATTCGCTGTGGCTATGAAGTAGCAACATTCAAATGACAGATTTTTCAACTTAATGCCCTAGGATCAAGATATCACATTTCACCTTAGTTGAGCCTTAGGTTACAGATGAGGAAACCCAAACCAAGGAGGAATGAAGTCACTAGTGCAGGGTCACACCGATGGAGCCAGGATTGCAGGCCATCTGCCCAATGGCCTCCACATCCCATGATCTTAAGCCTGCCCCAGAGAGGCTCCCAAACAGAGCACTGGGCCAAGTGTTGGCGGTTTTAGGAGTGTGACATCTGGAGAGTCCAATCCAGAAGTAAAAGGCGCTGACACCTGCCGGCTAAGCTTACCTGCTAGTAACCCCGAGGCTGGCTGTGGTCCAGCTAGTGAGGAGGAGGCGGAGGAGAAAGCCCAGCCAAGGAGAGCCCATCACAGCAGAACCTGGCCCTGTGGCCAGCGCATCCACAAGGTGTTTTCTCAGCTGTACAAGGGTGAGCACAGCTTCTTGCTGGCAAAGCTGGGGCCAGAGGGATAATCTTGTTTTCCTCTCCATGTTCTGTCTTGTGTGTTCCTACATCAACCTGTTGGGTGGCATTGATTGGGTGGCTGCTGCACCTGAGACCTCCTTCCACGTGGCCTGTGCTGACCCCATGGGGAGGGTCTCACCTCACGGTGCCACCTCCTCCTCCACAGGGTCTCTTCAGCCAGTTGACGCCTCACTGAGTGGGCCTGGCAGCCCCTCCTCCAGCAGCCTTAGGAACCTTGCTGGTGACTCAAGTGCCAGGCATTGGCATATGGACTCCACTCTCATTCTTCTGGTTGCAGTCCCTCAGTGAGCTCTGGGGACTCGTTCAATGCTGGTGTGACCACCGGTGCCTTTGGAGGCTGCCCTCTGCCTGGGCCCCAGACCGCCCTGTGCTCTCCTGCCCTTCTTCTAGGGTCAGCCTCAGCTCTGGCCACACCATGTGAGTTCCCAGCTGAGCCTCCTCTGCCATCCTGTCCTCCCAGCACCCAAGACCTGCCCCATAGGAGGTTCTGGCATCAGTGTCTATCTTTCCCCATAGAGAGTGTGAGCAGCCATTACCAACCAGCTGCTCCCAGGTAGTACCTGAGGGACCCTGGTGAGCATGGGAATGACCGTGTGTCCAGGTAGGACCCCCCCGGCACTCCTTGCTCTGGATTTGGAGTGAGAGGTAAGGAGAAGACATATCAGGACCAGGATTGGGGAAAGGGAGGGAAAATTTCATGAGTTCCCTGCCCAGCTCTACCTGGGACAGCTGGACCATGGGTCTGCCCAGGATTGGCCCCTCCTTGGGATTAGGAAGATAAATAAATATCAGACATGTGCAAGGGGAATACACAGCCAACAAGCCTGCCAGGCCCCCTGCTCTCCTGCTCCTCCCAGGGAAGGGGACACCTTTATAATGCTTTGCAAAGTGGCAAACCCACGTGGTTTCCCCCCAAGACCCTGCCCCACAGTAGTCAGCCTCCCCGAACTTTTCCCAGGGCAGAAGCACCCAGAGCTGCACCGTCCAGTGAGGGAGCCGCAAGCCACATGTGGCGATGGAGCATTGAAACAGGGCTAGTCTAAGGTACACAACTCATTTTCAATAATTCATACAAAATGAAAGCCTGAAATAGCTCAGTTAATCATTTGTATGTTACAATGAAAATATTTAGGGGTTAAGTAAAAAGTTTAATGTAGTAGTGTCTGTTGCTTTTCACTGTTTCAACGTGGCTACTGGAAATTTAAATTATATATGCGGCTCATGTTATATTCCTCCTGGACAGCACTGCTCTAGAGTTGGGACTGACCCCCAATCGTCTCCACAGCACAGAGCAAAGAGAAGCATGGACAGGTCAAGCATAAGTACTTTGTGAGCTGCTGGTGGAAAGATAACTTTGATTTTGTTTTCTTGTCTCTTTCAAACACATCAGGAGGAGAGAGCACAAGAGGCATTCATTTCCAGGATCTCAATCCAGGAGATGGGTGACGGCCTACAACCAGTCCAAGCAGCAACCGCCTTAGCCCACCCAGAGCACATGTGGTGTGTGGTGCCAGGCTCACCTGTTAGAAGCAGAGCCCTGACCATGTCCAGTTATACTTCAGGGCCCTCCATCGGTACCTCCGATGAGACCCAGTACCTCACCATGGCATTCAAGGCCCAGTGCAGCTCATCTATTGAGCTTCATCTCACATGCTCCCTGCTCAAAACCCTGTCCGTTCACACTTCTGTTCATTCAACAAACATTTACTGACTACTGCCCATGTGCCAAGCACAGTGCTGGCTGCTGAGGTCACGATGGTTAGCAAAATAGGCATAAACCTGTACCCTTTGGGGACCGCATGTCTAGTGGGGTCTAACAGGTAAGTAAATAAGGAAAATTATGGTACATGCAATATGAGCAGTTGTGGAGGAAGCACAGGGACCATGGGTGCACCAAAGAGGCACCTACACCAGACTTGAAGTCAGGGAGGGCTTCCTGGAGGAGGTAACATCTCCGTTAAAGAAGTCCTGTTGGCCAGACTGAGGCTGGGGGTGGTAAATATCCCAGGCAGAGGGAACTCTGGGTTCAAGAACTAACTGGAAGGGCAGAGCAGAGGGCAGAGCATGCTGAACTGAACTACATGCATTCTGGCTGGAGGACAGGGACCAGTGGCAATTAGCTGGCCTGGTGTGTATGGCAGGGGCTTGTGAGCCCAGTGAAGGAGTGTGGCATTTATCTGGAAGTTTATTCTGCAAGTGTTTTAAGCAAGGGAGTTCCTGTTTCCCACAGGAAGTGCCTTTGCCCCTCCTTCCTCTGCTCAAATCCTGCCCCCCAGTGGGAGCTCCGGTGGGGGGGGGGGGGGGCGCAGGCGGACCTGCCATCGTCAGGCACTGGATGGAGTTTTGAAGGAGAATGAGCAGGGGGCTTGTGGGGGCCTCAGCCCAGGGGAAAGTGCCAGGGGACTGGGGCTTAGGGACCAGCTGTGGAATTTGGGGCTGAGGCTCAGTCTGAGTCCAGGTTTGGGATTTGAGGACTGGATTCAGGAACTGAGATGAGAGTGGAGTCCAGGACCTAATTCCAGGATTTGCAGCTGGGGTCAGGTGAGGAATTTGAGCTGAGGTCCAAGCCAGATTCAGGGTTGGGTTTTGGAACTGGGACAGGAATTAGATTTGGAAATGAGGCTGGGGATTGAGATTATATTTCAAGACTCAGGGTTGGGGCTAAGATGTGGGGTAAGATCTGGGGTTGGAGCTAGGGGTTCTAGTTAGGGTTTGAAACTGCAGCTGGGGCTGAATCTAAGATGGGGTTGGAGCTGGGGGAACGGGCAGGGCCCAGGCGCGCGGGGAGAGACATTTCTCCTGCGGCCCAGGTCCGGGAATTCTGCTGGAGCCCAACAGCAGCTGACAGAGCCCCTCCCTTCCCAGGAATGCCTCCCGGGAGAAGGAGTGCCACGTCAGCCAATCAGCTCAAGCCCCGACTAGGAAACACCTGTTGTTGATTCCCCCGCCCCCCGCCCCCCACCCCCACCGGCGCACCAGGGTGCAGGTTAGGCAGGTGAAGCACCTCCCCGGAAACGGAGCTGGAGCGCTCCTCCTGCCGGGCTCGGATTGGATCCAGCACTCCCAGGCTTCTCGTGAGTGTCCCTGGGCCCCCCTAACCCCCCCTTCCCCCCACCGCCTCCATCTTCTCCCACTGGCTGGTCACCTTTGAGCCTCCACCTCGCCCCCAGCCTGGCCCCGCGGTCCCAGCGCACCTGTGCAAGCACTTTCAGACCAGTGAAGTCACCGCCCCGGGGAATGTGGCACGGACACCAGCGCCCCTCCCACGGCCCCTTCTCCATCTCCCTTAGGGGCATTTGCACCTGCCCCTCCTACCGGTTGCCGAGTGGCCCTGCAGAGGGGTTGTGCAGGACTGATGCCTCACCTGGGGTGCAACCCACGTACAGCCTCGCAGCCACATTCCGGAAGTGACCCAGCGCCCGGGTCCTAAGTCTATAGCAGGAGTCCCATCCTGAATTGGAGGAGAGAACGAATGTTGTGTTTTTTTATTCAAAAAGCACGCTCTGGGCATCTGTGGGGGCCCCAGAATTCCCACTGAAATTCTGAAATGGAGATATCAAATGACTCGCCCTGGCCCCTCAAGATAAATGTTTTGTCCTCGATTTTAAGATAAGGAGCCTGGGGCTTTAAGAGGTGAAGGCAAGGGAAGTCCCTGACCCTGACCCTCCCCCAAAACCCTCTCCTGGTGAATCCACACCCAGCATTTATGGCCTGAACCTGCTGTAACTGAAGCTCCTTGAGGGCAGGGACCCTGGCTGCTTCGTTTGCCCAGTCCTGCTGCCTGGCGCCTTCAGGACATGTTAAATGAGTAACCACTCTGAGGTCCCTCACCGAGTTCCCATGGTGTAAGGACTGCAGCTGGGGTTCGGGTCCAGAGCCCTTCTTTCCCTTTGCACAACTTTAGAAAAATCTTGGAGGAGGATGATGGGGTGGGGGTGGGGGGGGCGGGAGGGTGAAGAGCTGGGGGACAGAAGACCTGTGAAGAGTGGGGTGTTGAAGAGTCGGGAAGCAGTGGGGATGAGGCAGGGAATGGGATGGAGAAATGTGGAGAGGCGGCCTCCCTGGGACGTGCATAAGTGAGGAACAAGCATGAGAGGAGGAGCAGGTTTGGGTAAGGTGACGAGCTTGGGTGGGACCTGTTGCATCAGAGGTGACTATGGGACATCAAGGTGACAGTTGGCTTATGGGTCTGGAGCCTGGGAGGGAGATTGGGATTTGAGGGGCACGGGTGACTCGGGAACCTGCGGCCATGGCTGTGAGATTGGATGGGATGTTAGGGGAAGGCGGGTGTTAGGGATTAGATCCTAACCTGCAGAGAAGGAACCACAGCCCTAAGAGAGAATATTCAGGGTCAGGCTGCTGGTTCCAGAAGGGTTAAGTCACCCCCCTCCCTCCCCCCAGGAGCCAGTGGTGACAGCTGAAGCCATGTGAGTTGGATCCTGAATGAGGCTTTATCTCTGGCTCTTCGTCATCGGCCACCGTCCACCATCCACCATGGCACCAGCTCCCTCGGCCAGCCGGGATGGGACAGGCAACTGAGAGAGCCAGAGAGGTCAGCTGGGGAAGGGGGATCCCTGGAGGGGTGGGGGTGCTTTATATGGGGAAACTCTCCTGGGGTCATTGGGGAGGCATCCCAAGCAGCAGTGCTGGGGAGGGGGCTTTCCTGGGGGGTATTCCCAGGGATCATCCCCACAGCCCCCAGGAGAGACCGTGGTGGGCAGGCGGGCTGGGGAGGTAACAACAGTGATTCTCCCTCACAGATGATGGTGCCTTTGCCCTGGACTGTGAGAGGAATAGGACTTCGGGCTTCCAGCTGCCAAGCAGGTGGTGGGGGCTCCAGGCCATGATCTGCCCCCTCTAACCCTGGTGCTGCCCTCTGCCCTGACTTCCACCAGACCCGGCCATGTCGGAAGGAGAGGCTCCTGCCCCGCGGGGCCGGGCGCTGCCCCCAGATGTGCTGGCAGAGCAGGTGGAGTTGTGGTGGTCCCAGGAGCCGCGGCGCTCGGCACTCTGCTTTGCCATGGCGGTGGGCCTCGTGGCTGGCTGCGGGGCAGGCGGCGTGGCACTGCTCGCCTCCACCAGCAGTCGCTCGGGCGAGTGGCGGCTGGCAGTGGGCACTGTGCTCTGCCTGCTGGCGCTGTTGGTTCTGGTTAAGCAGCTGATGAGCTCAGCCGTGCAGGACATGAACTGCGTACGCCAGCCCCAACACGTGGCCCTGCTGCGCAGCGGTGGCGGTGCCGACGCCCTCGTGGTGCTGCTCAGTGGCCTGGTGCTGCTGGTCACCGGCCTGACGCTGGCCGGGCTGGCCGCCGCCCCAGCCCCTGCCCGGCCACTGGCCGTCATGTTGTCCGTGGGCATCGCCCTGGCTGCCTCCGGCTCACTCTTGCTGCTGGGCTTGCTGCTGTATCAGGTGGGCGTGAGTGGACACTGCCCTCCCCTGCGCGCAGCTGCCCCCTCCATGCACAGTGACCACAGTGGCAGCGGCAGCATCTTCAGCATCTCAGGACGGCTCTCTGCTGGCCAGCGTCATGAGACCACTTCCAGCATCGCCAGCCTCATCTGACCAAGCCGGAGCCCTTGCCACAGCTGCCTCAGCCTCATGGACCTGTGCTGGCGTGTGAGTGTGTGTGTGTGTGTGTGTGACTGTGTGTGCGCACCTCCCCAGGACTGTCCGGCCCTACGGGACGGTGGGTGTGTGTCTTCTTGGAACTGGGTGTTGTGTCCATGGACCCGTCAGAGGCTGCCTGTCTGCACTGGGGTCTCCAGGCAGAGAAGTATCTGGGGCCCCTGGAGATTCTGGGCTCGCTCCTATTCCCAACACCCCTCCCAGCCAATCCTGCCCTCTCGCACTCGTCAGGGACTTCCCCGGGAGTGACTGCTGCCCACCCCGGAGACCGCACCAGCAAGTCTTCATTGAGGAGAACCACTGGTGGCGGAGTGGGCTCCGGGGCTGACAGGCCTGCGTTGGAATCCCCCTCGACCACGTCCCAGCTGGGCAACTTGGGCAAGTGACTCGGCTTCTCTGAGCCTCAGTTTTTGAGAGTCATGGTTGTGGTCATGAATTCTGAGGATCGAGTATGGAAGGACGGGGTACCTTACAGATGTGCATTAAAAGTGGTGGCTGCCGTTACTGTCACTGTCTTTACATCCCAGCTCACCTAGAGACCTTCCTTCCCCTCTCACACCCACCCCATCCGAGTGAACACTCGTGCCTGCTCCGTGCCCAACGCGCCTGCAGGAGTCCTCAGTAAGGCCTGTGGTTCCTCCTCTCAGCTGCTGTGAAGCCGAGGGGAGAGGGGGCTGAGGGGTGCTCAGCTTCGGGAAGAGGGTGGGTTTCTGGCCCCAGAGAGGGCAGGGGGGTCCTTGCCATTAGCTCACGTGCTGGTTCACGATGAAGCCTCGGGTATTGGGGTTTTGTCAGCTGGTGACTCAGGAGGCTGCAGCTCCCTGCCCGCCTCTGCAACCGGAACATCCCGGTCCTGGTCCGTGTCCTCGCTGCCCGGGCTGGCCTGACTCCGGGTTCCGGGGCACAGGAGGGCTGTGTGAAACCCGCTTGGGTGCTAAGAGTCACTTCCTGCTTGAGGTCCACCCTGGAAGGGATCTCCCGTCTCTGGTGTGGTCATCAATCTCCACTCCCTGGGTGCCCAGGGCAAAGTTTCACCAGAAGAGCGTTTCATCACTTCCTGCTTCACAAGGTGCAGTTACAGGCAGGCAGCACCTCAGCCAGCAGAGAGCGGGGACCAGACGTGTTCAATGTAGACCTATAAGGGCTCCCACAAGAGAACATTGCTTCCAGCTGCCGAGATCAAGGCAGTCTCCTGGAGACAACACCGAGCTGCTGGATGAGGGCAAGGGTGTTGCCAAGCCAGGGAGAGAGCCGCGGGAGCAGAAGGAATAGGGCAGTGATGGCGAACCTATGACACGTGTGTCAGAGGTGACACGCGAACTCATTTTTTTGGTTGAGTTTTCTTTGTTAAATGGCATTTAAATATATAAAATAAATATCAAAAATATAAGTCTTTGTTTTACTATGGTTGCAAATATCGAAAAATTTCTATATGTGACACGGCACCCGAGTTAAGTTAGGGTTTTTCAAAATGCTGACACGCCGAGCTCAAAAGGTTCGCCATCACTGGAATAGGGCGTGTCCGGGAGCAGCAGATACATTTCAAAGGCACCTCGGACCCTCCAGATATTCAACTTGGAACCCCTCTTCTGGCTCTTAAACTAGCTCCTCCATCTCACCATTCACCCAGCGTCCAGGTTAGAACCCTCAGCCGGACCCAGACAGCACCCTCGCTCTCCCTCACCCCGTGTCCAGCACACACATCAGCTCCTGCGGACTTCCTTTGTAGATGTTCTTGTGGTAATCAGACCTCCACACTCATCTCCCACAGTCCTCTTCGTCTCGGCCTATTTGTGCAGCAGCCTCTCTACTGTTCTCCCTACTTTTGTTCTTTTCTCCTCTTAAATGCAACTTCCCCTCCCCAACTCCAGTATGTACACATGGAGCCCCAGTGACTGTGCTAAAACAAAAATGCAAATTACCTTGAGATCCTCCCATGGCCCCACCTCTTGCAGGCTAAGGTGCAGACTTTAGCTGATTTGGTCTCTCCCTCCTCGAATCACCCCGTGAGCCAGACACACTAGACTACTGCTGAGCCTCACCGTGTCCTCTCCCTTCTCCCAGCCTCTGTATGTTCTTTCCTTGCCTTTATGTCCTTCTTCAAGACTCACTTCTCTGGGAGTCTTCCCTGACTCTCTCCCCTGAACTAGAGAGTTGCCCCTTTTCTAGCCCAAACGCTCAATTGTAGACACCAGTCTGCAATTCTTTCTCTGTGCACCTGTCTCCTTAATTGGGTGGTAAACTCCTCCTGGCAGGGTTTGGGTCTTCTCACCTGTGTGTCCCTAGTTCCCAGCACAGGCCTGACACCTAGTAGGTGCTTTGTTGGATGGCAATGTGTGTGCAAAGATCAGAGATCCCTATAATTGGGAAGGGCAGGGAAGTTAGGCTGCTGTCCACTGCTGGCCCTGACTCTCCTGAGGCCCCACACTGCCTGCCCCAGAAATTCTCGCTCTTCCTGGGTTCCCAGGAGGGAGCAAGCATTATCCCAGCCCCTGGGCCATTCGAGGACCACAGGACACCTCTCCATCCTGTAACACGGGGAGGAATCATGTTTCTTTTTGGCTGAGACAGGACTAGACTCTTCCATAATATTTCTCTTAAGAAACTAAAGGAAAACAGAAAACAGAGGCCCAGAAAATGGGGAGGGGGAGGGTTACATGGCACAGATGTCTGGATGAGCAGCTACTCCAGGCAAGGCCCGTGCCAGGCTCTCCTGGAAAGGAGGCCGCATGAAGAATATAGTTTGTGCCCCCAGATGGCCTACTTCAGACAGCAGTGGGAGTAGACCTCTGCACACCCATCTGGAACATGAGTTGGGAGGGTAAGAGCTAGGTCAAGGCACAGGCAGGGCAGAAATGCTACCGCTTCCTCAATCACTTGAGCCCACCCACAACCTCCCGTCTCCAGCCTGTTTGCTCAAAGCACGTCACAAAACCCCATCTTGGTCCACATTACAACCAGCTGGCCACCGGCCCCTCTGCTATCTCTCTAAACTTTAGAGCCTAAAGCTCCCCTTCCTGCCCTAGCAGGTTTGGTTCAGTGGGTAGAGTGTCAGCCCACAGACTGAAGGGTCCCAGGTTTGATGCAGGCTCAATTCCCGGCCCCAGGTTGGGGCAGGTGCTAGAGGCAACTAATCGATGTGTCTCTCTCATATCGATGCTTCTGCCTCTCTCCCTTTCTTCCACTCTCTCTAAAATTCAATGGAAGAATATCCTCGGGTGAGGATTAACAAAAAATAAATATAAAGCTGCCCCTTCCTCTCTTACCTCCCCCTCCTGCCCTTATCTCCCTTCTGGTGATGATTCTTCGACCCGTCATTTCACCCACTCGGTGACAGAGTCCTCAACTCCTTAGCCACCTGCCCCTTTGGTCCCGCTCTCCCAGGAAACCACCTCCATGGACTAATCCACACACTGGCCTTCACTGCACCTGCCGCCCCTCAGGGAGTGGTTATTAGAGAGACCGGCACAGCCAGGCAGCAGGCGTCACCGTGAATTCCTCATCACCAGTCTCAGCCGGGTCTGCAGTAGCTCATCAGTTACAGTTTCCCTCGTCAGCTGCTCCCACAGTGACCCTCAAGTTACCTCCACTCCCTTCACATCCTAGGTCACCTAACATCACTCCCTGCAGGTGGCTTGACCTTCCACCTCGAGAGACTGAGAGTCCTATGGAAAGAAGCCTTCACATCCCTCCCACCAAATCCCTCCTCCTTGCTCCTGTCCAGGCAATGACCTTGGCAGCCCAGCTGAGGAATTTGGACTTTGTCCTCAGGACTCTGAGAAACATGGGACAAATTTAATCAGGGGAGTGAGAGTAGGATTTGGGACTCACTGGCTGCTGTGTGGAACCAGGGTGAGCTCTCCAAGAAAAAGAAGAAGAAATGGCCAAACAGTCCCAGAAGTGATGTCTCCGCTGGCCCTAAGGGGTGGGAAGAGTGCCCCAGAAAGAAGAAATAGCAGAAGGGCCTAGGGACAAGGGAACTTGGCTCCTTCAAGGAACTACAAAGGGCCCAGCCGGTGTGGCTCAGTGGTTGAGCATCGAGTTATGAACCAGAAGGTCACTGTTTGATTCCCCATTAAGGCACATACCCAATTGCAGGCTCGATCCCCAGTAGGGGGCATGTAGGAGGCAGCCAATCAATGATTCTTATCATTGATATTTCTATCTCTCTCCCTCTCCCTTCCTCTCTGAAATCAATAAAAATATTTTTTAAAAAGAGGAACCACTAAGGGTTTGTGTGGCTGAAACATGGAGCAGTAGCTGGGAAGAGGTGAGGAGTGCAAAGGAGGGGCCCTCGGCCAGTCCCAGGCTTCAGCAGCTCCCTAGCATGTGGCAGTTTCTCAAGGCCAAGAGCAAGCCAGTGAAGGGCTGTCAGCAGAGGAATGGCCTGGTCAGAACGTGTTTTAGGACAATCATCCTGCCTGCAGCACAGAAACTTCATCGGAAGGGGCCAAAATGGAGGCAAGGAAATGGGCTGGTTGATTAATGCCATCGTCCAGATGCAAGATGATGAGGGACAGAATGAAACAGAACAGATTCCACGGATGTTCAGAGGCTGGACTGACAGGTCCTTGTGACTGACTGGAGGGTGGGAGATGGGATGGGTTAAGGTGGATAGAAAGAGGTTTAAGATACAAGGTAGAGAAGAAGCTGCTCTTAAAGTCCCTGAACAGGAGGCGGGGAGGGGAGGTCCAGGACACAAGGTGGAGGATTGGGCTTACAAAGCCATTTTGATGAGAGAGAAGAATGGAAAGAGGTTACAGTTGTGGGTGTTGTAGCAGGAAATTGAGGGAGGCCCTGACCAATAACTATTGTGTCCGTGAGGCACAGGCCATTTTAAGGAGCTGCTATGGAGAGTGCGAGAGGGATGGGACCAAGAAAACAGGGCGATTGCCGGAAGCTGTGAGAGCCCATGAGAGGCTGGAGGCCCGGTAGAGACCACAGCCTAGACAATGGTGGGTCTTACTCCACAGCACACAGGGGCCAGGCACCAGGTCCGAGGCCGGAGTTCACCTGGAGTGTGCAATGCTGAGACAATGGCATGTAAGTGGAGGAGACTGGCAAGAGAGGCTGACACATTAGACCCTGAAATCTAAGCTGGTATTGAGTGAAAAGACAAGAGGGGCCGACAGAGACAGAGGACAGTGGTGTGAAGCTAGAGGCTCCCACCGGGTGGCGGATGAGGTGGAGAGAGAGGACTTGCCACATGTTCCTTCTGAGCTCAAGAGTCAAACTCTAGGTCCTCAGCCATGTCACCTGGATGCCTGGATACTGGAAGAACATGTTCCAGAAATTTCCAAATCTGTTCCAGTCCAGGTGGAGCTTATATCATATCCAAGCACATCCTACATGAGACCTCAGGCCTTCTGGGGTCACTCAGGTCTCCCCAAAGGAGCTTCCTCCAGGCTGCAGGGGACTGACACATGCCCCTTATGCTCAGCACTCTGCACAGGACAGGGGCCGCCTTCCTGACTGTCCTCAGGACCTGAGAGACTCCCCTCGGCATAGCCAGGGAAGTCAGCCTCCGGGACTGGAAGGGCCCCCAGGGATGGAACAGACCACTTCTACCCTCACAGCCTGCTCTCCCAAACCAGGAGCTTGCACCCAGAGACTTCTCAGCCCCACTCACTCAGGGAGCGGGAGGGGTGCCAGCCCTGGCTGACTATTCCCAATGCCCATCTTGACTTAGGTCACAAGATGTTCCTTCTCTGGGTCTGTGAGCATTAATTCGGACTGAGATAATGGCATTATTGCTGAGCAAAGAAGCAAGTTACAACTTCTCAGTGTATAAAATGGGGCTGCCTCCCCAGCAGGACTCTTGTAAGAAGCACTAGGACATCGGTGCTATTGTTGTTATTCTATAGCATCAGAGACTCGAATTCAAGTCCTTTCTGTCCTGACCAGATCTGAGCTGAGTTCTGGGAAACAGGGAAGCTCAAACCCCAGCCCAGAGAGTGGGGAGAAAGGGGGCTTGACAAGCTCCTCCCTCAGGATTAAGCCTGGTTGTGGGAGGACCCATTGTGAGGAGTGATTGCCCTGGGGGAGCCCACAGGCAAATGGCTAACACTTGTACAGGCCGGCTCAATTCCACTTTAAGTAACTCACTTAATCCTTCTAACCTTGTGTGGCAAGTGCTTTATGATCCCCATTTTACTGAGAAGAGAGTGCGCACTGAGGGAGTAACTTGCCCAAGGTCACACAGCTCATCAAGGACAGAGCTGGGATTTGAATCCAGGGAGTCTCAGCTCTCAACTCACCCGCTACTCTGCTGGGGCTCCTTAAACTTCACGCCTGTGGCTTGTGTGACCCCTGTCTTTGGCCTCCACATATGGACAAGGGATCTGGCTCTGCTTTGGGGACAGCGGAACAAGGCAGCTGGGAGCTGGGTTGTCCTCCACAGTCAGGTCTGGGCTGGGGTTCCCAGGACAGAGTAGGTAGTGGCAGCTGCTGGGGGTGCAGGACAGGGTGCAAGGCTGAGGCAGAGGCAGCTGCGGCCAGGACCTCAGCTAGAGGAGGACAGACCAGAGCCAGATCTGGCTAAGTCCCAGGCCTCCCATCACGTTCAGCATCCTGGGCTCCTGCGCCTGTGGGCCCAGGTCACATGCCCTATTTGTGCCTGGGGCCAGGCATGTGCAGCACAATGGCAATGATTCCGCAGAGGAATCCAGCAAGGCCACTCAGGACAAGGTCCAAGGTACTCATGACCCCACGGTCCTGCTCAGCCAGGCTTGCCCTCCAGCAGGTTCTGAGAGGAAGCCCTCCCTGCTGACCCTGACTGGGGGCAGGGCTCAGGAAACGCAATTGCTCTTCTGGGATCGGGCCCATACCTTCTCCTGGATCCCTCAGACATCTTGACTCAGGTCCCAAAGAATATGTGAAAACAGGGCCAGCTAAGCTGCTTCCTGGCCCAGAACTGCAGCAGGACAGCTCCTTCAGGTGGGCCTGCGGGAGCATTAGGTCAGGGGACAGACCCACTGTGTTCGCAGCTGCTCTCCCCTCGGAGCTCTCTCCTCAGAGCCAGGACATGTTCTTGGCCCCTTAGTTCTGCTACTCAGGGTCCTTCTCCGGGTCTCAGGCTGGGGCAATTCAACCATCTCTGGACTCAGGAAAAATTGCTGGAGTTGGGGCTGTGTGTGCTGGGCTTCCCTCCTCCCTGGGCTCCTCTCTCCTGCTGACAAGTCCTTGGATGTCAGTGTTTCCCTACTCAGTTCTCAGTGCCTCTCAACTCCACTTCCAAAACCTAAACCACTCCCAGGGTGTCAGTGACAATCAGGCTGACTATTCCCAAGTCCATGTCTGCTGACAGGACTTCTCCCCTCCCCAGTGAACCCCAGCTGCCCCGGGGCATCTTTCCCTGGAAATCTACATCCGGCACTGAATCCACATTCCCAAGAAACCTGTTCCTCCATCAAGCCCGAAACCAGGGCAGCTCCCTGGACTCCTTCCGCCCCCACATCCGGTAGCCAAGCAGTGCTGTCAGCCCTGCCCCCTTCAACGTGTGGAATCTGTTCCCTACACATTAGTCTCATCTTAGTCACCTCTCTCCTGGTCTCTGTCCTCCAACCCATCGCTTAGCAGCATCCATAATGCCTTTTCTGTCATGATGACAGCATTCCCTTGCCCAAAAAGTTCACAGATGAGCCTAGGTTGCTCTCAAATTGAAGAGCAAGCTCTCTACCTTGGCACCAAGGCACTAGCTCAGTGATGGCGAACCTATGACACGCGTGTCAGGGGTGACACGCGAACTCATTTTTTTGGTTGAGTTTTCTTTGTTAAATGGCATTTAAGTATATAAAGTAAATATCAAAAATATAAGTCTTTGTTTTACTATGGTTGCAAATATCAAAACATTTCTATATGTGACACGGCACCAGAGTTAAGTTAGGGTTTTTCAAAATGCTGACACGCCGAGCTCAAAAGGTTCGCCATCACTGCACTAGCTGATCTGGTCCATGCTTCAGCTTCATCACTGCCATGGGCACCCCTCAAACCCTATGCTTCAGCTCCAGTCCTCCTCGACCTCCTGCCTTTTTCTCAAGCACCTCCCTACATTAGTCATCCCTCCCTTTCCTCCTCTGCTGGCTCTTTCTGCAGGCTAACGTGGCATCCAGGTGGACACAGTGTGGGGTGGCTGCCTGGCTCATGACTTCCCCTTGTCTGGGAATGACCTGGAACAAACAGGTGGGCTCCCCAAATCACATATGTGCTACAGGAGCCTGCTCTCACTGGTCACAGCTGTGGTGGACACTGGACCCAACCTGGGCCAATCAGATTCTCTCACCTGAGTTCTTGAGACTCAGAACTGAGAGTTTAGGAGTCCCAGGCTTGGAGTCTCATCAATGCCCATAAATGACAAAGCACTAGAGGTACAGAAATCAGGCTGACAATCAGGCTGCTGGGACCACCTGCTTCCTGTCCTCCTGAGACAGCCGTCCCTTTAATTCTATGCAAAAGCCAGGATTCCTTTCCATTGCTTGCAAAAGAAGCAAAGAACCAAGGAAGCTTAACTGTCTCCCTTGCCCCAATATTCCACCAGCAGCTGTGACCCTAATCTTTTCCTGTCAAGTTCTTAATCAAGTTTTTCACAATCAACTGCACTCCCTTATCCTTCACCTACTTACTCCTGAGCCCACAGTAATTCAATAAATTTTACAAGTATTTATTTAGCATCTGCCTTGTGCAAGACTCTGAGGACACAAATGAGACCTAGCCTGTGGCCTCAGGGAGCTCACAGTCTAGCTGTAAGGACAGGCACAGTAAAAAATAAGTGCAAACTGCAATGAAGATTAAGGTGAAATGTGGCCAGGGTGCTGGGAGAGAAGCTCACAGGGTTTGAGAGGGAGGGGCTCACCGGAGGCTGGGCATGTCGGAGCAGCATCTTCCAGCTCCGTGACAAAGAACACTTTTATGCACAAGTTCCAGTTCAGGAAAATAAAAATGAGCAACTTTTAATTTTTATTTGAAATAAAAATAGATTTATTAGTACCTGTGAAAAACAGAATATATTATAACTATTTAGATTACCCACTGTATTGATAGGAAAAAATTTCAATAAGAAACTTGGCACACTGGTTTTCATCTGCTAAAATGTTACCAACTGGTAGATAATAATAACTAGTTAAGTAGGGAGAATGCAAACCAAGAGGCTGACAGAGGCCTCATTTCCATAGTCAGGTCCTTGGTAGGCTTTATCCTGAGAATAGCAGGGAGCCATTGAGAGTTATTGAGCAAGAGAGGGGCACTGTCACTTTGGTGGCTAGTGTCAGGGATGGGAAAATTGCTCAATCCCTGGTCAGCCCTTAAATCCTAGCCACCTCCATCCCTGAGTTCATTGCAGTATTTACAATTCTTAAGCTGTCAGGCAAAGGTTGTGACTCAGAGGGAGAAATGGTGCCTGCTACCTTCTGTCCCCAGCTCGCTGGCCCCAGGCTGAATGTAATTGTCCTCAATGAAACCATCATCATCCTCATCTTCACCGGCCTCCGGACAGATCTCCTTCCTTGTCCCGGGCAGTGGGCGGTGCTGGTAGCTGAGGCGGTATTTGCGGCAGAGGTGGCATTTGGCAGCAAGTGCAATGAGGAGAGAGAGGACCACAGCTCCCAGCACAACCCCCACCAGCACAGGCCATGCCCGGGCCCCAGAGCCTGGCCCAGGGGTCATGGCTGATAGCGAGGGGAGCTCCGAGGGTCCCACAATGGCTGCAGAGAAAGGAACAGCATTATGAATGGGCTCCAGATGGGCTCCCTGGGGAAACCGAGAGGAGTGGGGGCAGGGTCCTTCCCCCAACCCCAGCATCTAAGGGGAAACCACCCCCCTCTTCAGCTTCCCTCACTGCTACTCACTTTGGTTTGTGTCACTCATGGAGTAGCTGGAAGACACCGTGAGCCTTGGCTTGGCCAGAAGAGCCCTGGCTCCAAGCAGATCCCAGGTGATAGGCAGCCCTGGGGCACAGATCCTGAAACATACACACATGTGTGGCTGTCAGGCACAGGGCACACGTAGCAGGCCATCCTCACAGTCGCGTTAGGGTGCTACACAAACGCTAGGGACTGGACAACTAACCATAAACAGTTGTTCACAAGAGAGAAACAAGCCGAGAAATTGGCTCTTTGGAAGGAAATATTGCAGGGTCCAGCTCTGGAAGTGGCTGGAAACATAAATCAATGCTGGAACTTACACTGAGCAGACTGTATGATCCAGGTACCATGCTCACAGCAATCTGTAATGTCGGTGTAAACATTATTCTCTTTATAGATGAGGACTCTGAGGCCCAGAAGGGTCAACTAATTCAGCCAAAGTTCCAGCCCAGGGCCCAGGTTGCTATATTGCATGGTAAGCTGAGGATGGGAGGTGGGGGCAGAGGCAGTCCTGCTCCCAGAGGTTGGACAACAGCAATTGCTTGGAGTTAACAAGCCAAAGTGAAAACCACACGTGGAAGACAGTGCCAATCCTCACCCAGGGCAGGGGGTCTCAGCACAGCCAGGGCAGACTTGGCCCCTCTGCTCCTGAGTCAGGGGCCCCTCTTAACCCACCTTTACCCTCAGCCCTTCAGGCACTTCTGTCTATTCACCTGAGCCCTCAGAGGGAGGCGGTAATCAGGAAGTAGCCAAATATAGACCACCTGAATCAGGAAATCATCTGGATGAGAATCGCTAGAGCTGGAGAGGATCTAGAGAAGGAGCACCTGAATTAAGGAAGTATTTAGAGATCATCTAGAGACCAGTGGTTCTCAACCTTGGCTGCACATTAGAATCACCTGGGAATCTTGTTAAAATCCTGATTTCTGGCCCTCATCCTCCAGAAATTCTGTTTCTTTGTTACTAATGATGAGGCCCAGAAACCAGGATTTTAACAAGATTTCCAGGTGATTCTAATGTGCAGCCAAGGTTGAGAACCACTGGTGTAGAGCCTTGTTTCAGTTTGCTATGGCTTCCTCTCCGGGACTTGTCCAACGGGGGGGCAACACCTGAATCTAGGGACTATCTAGCAACGGTTCTCAACCTGTGGGTCGCAACCCCTTTGGGGGTCGAATGACCCTTTCACAGGGGTCGCCTAAGACCATCAGAAAACACATATATAATTACATATTGTTTTTGTGACTAATCACTATGCTTTAATTATGTTCAATTTGTAACAATGAAAATACATCCTGCATATCAGATATTTATATTATGATTCATAACAATAGCAAAATTACAGTTATGAAGTAGCAACGAAAGTAATTTTATGGTTGGGGGTCACCACAACATGAGGAAGTGTATTAAAGGGTCGCGGCACTAGGAAGGTTGAGGACCACTGATCTAGAGGAAGAGCACCTAGGTTAGGGAAGTACCCTACCCGTTGGAGGACCAGCTAGGGCTAGAGATTATCTGCAGGTGGAGTACCTAAATCAGATACTCCTGGGAAGGAGTATCCAACCTAAGAAAGTACCTAGGAGATAAGCACCTAGTTTAGGGGAGTACTCCCCCATAGTCTTTTACACCAATACTTTAATGAGACCTTCCCTCCTCACCACCAACTTGTCACCAAGTCCATCAGTTCTTCTAAATATCTCTGGAATGACTATTCCCTTCCTTTGCACCCCACTGCCACTTCCCCAGTCCGAGCTGCCTTCATCTTGTACCTTTACTCTAACAATAACCTCCCAATTGGTCTCGCCCCATCTCTAGTCCAATCCCCAGAGCCATGGGCCTAAAGCCCAAATCTGACCCCCTCACACCCCTGTTTAAAAATCCAAGAGCTCACCACACCCAGTGCTGCATGCAAATTCCTCAGCCACACAATCCAGCACAAGGCCCTCAGGCCAAACTCTTCTTCCTCTTCCCACAGTTCCCTCTCCCCACACAGACACCTCCCACCTCAGCCACCGCCTCCCTTCTCAGTTTCTTTGAGTCCACCATCTCGAATGCTAAGTCAGGCCACGCCAGTTGGTGAGGCTGTCCCAGGCCTCTCTGTATGGCCCCTTTCAATGGCCTAAACCATAAACTACCAGTCAGAACTGGCCAGTTACTAGATGGGCAGCTCCCTGAGGGCAAAGACTGGGATGATTGACCTGTGCCCTGGGACTGCCAGAGAGCTTGGCACTTGGCTGCTCAGTGCCAGTTTGTGAGTTGAGTGAGGGACAGAGCTGAGAGTGAATATGGGAGTGGGGGTGAGGGGTGGGACAGGAGAAACTAGAAAGGACGGGTAAATGAGTAACACTCCGCGGGTGCCTACTGTGGGCCCCACACTGTGCACTGGGTCCTCAAAAAACAAGATTTTGTTTAATTGAAATGAATTGAATTTTATTTGACCTTTCTCTTACTCCTATTTCTTTCCTTCTGCCTTGTCCCTGTGGTTTCTTCCCAAGGACATTTCCCCACACCCACAGGCGGTCACCCCACCCCTCAAGTCACATTTCTTCCACTAACAAACACACCCCTCCTCTAATCTTCAGACATACACACCCACCCTGATCTGTAGCTCCTTTCCTGCTCCCAGGAGCCCTCCGGGACTTGTGGGTTCCTCCTCCCAGCCCCCCAATTCTTCCCCTCTGCTACCCACCTGTAGGAACTGTGCACACTCCGTGGAGGAAGCTTCCGGCTGGGGCCGGCAGACAGTGGGCGGGGCTTGACTCACCTGGGGACGCCCCTGGTGGGGCTGAAGCTGCCGGTGAGGGCGGAGGGCTGGGCAGCAGGCAACGCCCACAACCGGGAGGACTAACTAGTCTTCCCAAGCTTTTGCGGAGAACCTTATGGCACTGGCCTCACCCCCACCCCCACTACTGGGGAGAGGCGGGTGGGCTGGTGCAGTTGGGATCCTGAGAGGAAGGGGTGGTCCTATGGGCCCTAGAAGGGGCGGGCACTTCAGCGGGCTGCTGCTCAGGCTGGCGGCCCAGATGAGCAATGACTTTACGGTGACAGGTACAAAGTCCGGAGTTAAGAGGGAGCTTTGCAGACCTGTGAAGGCGGTGGGCCGGAACCGGGAGGCAGGGAGGATGGGGGCGGGGAGGGGTGGGGGGGGGGGAGGTTGGGCATTCTTCCCAGGCGAAGCCAGAGAGGCCAAGGACACACTTAAAATTGCCTGCAAGTGTGTGTGTGTGTGTGTGTGTGTGTGTGTGTGTGTGTGTGTGTAGAGCAGATGTGAAGGTCAATGGGGAGTGTGAGTTCAAAGGCCTTTTGGGGATGGTATATGTATCTTGGGGGGGGGGGGGTTATGGTGTGTATGTGTGTCCAGCCTTCATCTGGATCTCAAGGATCCTGTGACCCCACAAAGCTAGCTCTGGATCTCCCTTTTGTTCTACTCCTTGTCCTTGAAGATACGGTCAGGAGTCACTTTCCCGGAGCCCTCAGTCTACCCCGGCACTCCGGGTGGAGATGCCCAGCATGATGCCCAGCATTCTCTCTCCTGCATGCCCTGCACACCCTTTATCACAGCATTTCTCTATTTATCCTGTAGTGATTTTGATAGGGGCAGAAATAGAATATTGGAGACCAGCTATAATGGTAAGAAATATTAACCATGCTCTGTTAACTGTGATTGTTTTGTTCTGGTTAAAGAAGGCGCATTCTAACCTGGCTGGGCGTTGCACGTAGGACCCGGGAGCTCACCTGGAAATGCAGCCCATGGCCCACCCTCCCCATCTGTACCCTTTTGCCTACTTCCCCACGTCATCTTTGTCCTTCTACCCAATATAAGCGGCTGGCTATGCTGGGGGGCAGAGCAGATTTTTGTGGACGACCTGCTGCTCTCCCATGCTGCCGGCATTATTGGAATAAACTCTCATATGATTCAACCCTGTCTCTGCTTAATTGACTCAAGTAGTGACAGGCAGCACGGACCCATTGATTTTCCGGTTATAATTTCCTGGGCTGCCTCCCCATTAACCCAGAAGCTCTCTAGGGTGGAACCAAGTGTTAACAGTCTCTAGCTTGCCGGCACCTGGCACAGAGCAGGCTTTCAGTGACTATGTAAGGGAGGAAGGACTGCATGAGCTAAGCCATGCGGGCACAGGATTCACAGGGTCCCTCAGGCCACAACCCGAACAAGGACTGTGCCCAGGGGTTGCAAGTGGGGCAAGCCAGAACTGTGGCTACAAAGTGGAGGACCTTGCAGGACCTTGGATGTTTTAACACGGAATCTGAACTCTTCCAATGGCTCCTTCCTAGGTCTCCCACCCCATCTGGTGCTTGCCTTTCATACTCTCTCCTCCAGCCGCACCACACTGTTCTCCACTCCTGGAACCCACCATGCTCCATCTCCCAGGCTCTGCATGCCCCATTCCTGGGGCCCCTGATTTCCCCTATCCCTCACCTTCAGCCCTTCCCCCAACTTGTCCATCATCTCTCAGGCTGATTTTCTTCCAGACCTACTCATCACTCAGACCCCAGTTTAGGTGCCTCTTTATATAGATGGCCTTCCCTTACTCTCCCTAGTCTGGGTTCCTCCTCCCACCCTCAGTGCCCCGCCCCCCAGACCTGGCACTTCTCTCCCTTTGCCCTGACCACCACTATTGTGAATTTCTCTTTATTTGGCAGGGCCTCTTGTGAGTCTGGAAACTCTGGGGTTGGGTCTGCATCTGTCTCATTCCCCTTCAAGTCCCCAACATCTAAAACGGCAACAATAAATCCTTCTGAAATAAGTGAATAAGAGGAAAGTGAATACTACCCATGATGGGACAGTGAGGAGTCAGGAAGTTTGGGGGTTTTGCTTTGATTTTGAAGCAAGGAAATCATAGGATTCAAAAGGTATTCATTGAACACCTGTGCTGTTTTATTTGTTTTTAAAATTGAGGCATTCATATAACATAACCTAATTCACATCACAAAAATTTCACCATTTTAGTACACAGTTTAGTGGCACTAATTATATTCAAAAGGTTGTACAACCATCACTGTATCTAGTTCTAAAATATTTTTGTCACACCAAAGGATACCCTCTACCCATTAAGCACTCACTCATTTCCCCTGTACTCCAGGCTCCAGCAACTACAAAAATCTGCCTTCTCTCTCTATGGATTTGCCTGCTCTGGATATTTCCTACAAATGAAATCATACCTGTGCCAGCTTTTTTACTGAACTATTTCATTTAATCCTCATAACTACACTATTAGATATTAATTAGCCCGATAATAGATGAAGAAACACAGCCATAAGAAGGGAATTAGCAAGACGTTCCACAGAATAAAGCACAGAAAGGTCTGCACATCCGTCAGTCAGTCACTTGTTTAATGAGTATGTATTGATCACCCATCACAGAGCCACAGCCAGCCCATAGACACACATTAGAATATAGCAGAGGACGACCTGTTGGGTCCCCCACAGCATGGAGAGCAGAGAGCAGGCTGGATATCAGCACCACTAGCCCCTCAGCCAGAGCTCGGTTCAGTGAACAACCTTTACCACCTCCCATAGCGGCCCTGACAACCTTGTAGTAGGCACTGTGCTAGATGCTGGGGACAGAGCTCCTGCCACCATACAGCTTTCATTCTGGCGGGGAAGACAGACAATACACAAGAAATAGATAAGATCATTTCAGATCAGGGTGACGGCTATGAAAAAATACAATAGCTTCAGGTGATAGGGAGCCGTGGAGGGGGCTGTTACTTTCCATTAGTCAGGAAAAAGGGGGGACTCACTGAAAGGGGATGTTTGAGCTGAGATCTGAATAATAGGGAAACAGCAACCATGCTCATCTAGGGGAAGAGCATTCCAGGAAGAGGAAACAGCCCTGACAAAGACTGACAGCAGGAGCAGGGCTGGCTTGTTCAAGCAACGTCAGGAGCCCAGCTGGATGGAGCACAGTAAGTGGGGAGACATGGGAGGAGTCGCCCTGGGCGGCTGTCAGCTCATGTGGGGCCTCATCACGTCCTTCCCTCCATGAGATGGGAAACCACTGATGATCTAAGCAGAGGACTGAGGGACTATCCTCCGGCTTCTGTGTAAAGAATGGATTAGAGGAGCCAGGGTAGAAGCAGGGAGGCCAGTTAGGAAGCTGTTGCTATCATCCAGGAGAGAGGGGCTGTGGCCTCAGGGTGCTCAGGTAGAAATGGGGAGAAGTGCTCAGGTCCTAGATATATTTTGAAGGTGAAGCCTATGTGATTTGCTGACTGGATGCAGGTTTGAGAAAAAGGGGCCGCGAAGAACTCCAAAGTTTTGTCCTGAGCAGCTGGTAGGATAGAGATGTCCTTCACTCAAGTGGAAAGACTCCAGAAAGGAGAGGTTTGGGAGGGCAACCAGGACCTCAGTTTGGGACATGTTAGATGGGAGATGCCTGTGAGATATCCAGGTAGCATCCTAAGTAGGCAGTAGCATAAATTTGGCCAGAATGCAGGGGGAGATAAAGGCTAGAAATAAAAAATGTGGGCAGCAGCAAAATGTGGATGATTTTTAAAGCCAGTTATCTAGGTGTCAAGAGAGAAGGCTGAGGGCTGACTTCTAGAGCACAGCAGGACGGGGAGAGGGGCTGAGGAGAAGCAGGAAAGGAGACTGAGGCATGGCCAGCAGCATGGTGGGAGGCAGACATGTGAGAGAGTGTCCTGGAGACCAGAGAAGAAAGTATTTCAAGGGCAAGAGCTTGGCAGTTACGTCAAATGCGGGTGATAAGTCAACTGAGATACAGATTGAGATCTGACTTTGAAATTGGCCAGGTAGAGGTCACTGGTGACTTTGGTCAGAGCAGTTTCACTAGTGTTGGGGACGAATGCCTGACTGGAGCAATGCACCAAGTATGGGAGCAGAGGAAGTGGTGACCGCTTCTTCAAAGAATTTTGCTATAAAAGGATCAGAGAAGTCCTGGTTGGGTAGCTCAGTATCAGGACAACACCAAGGTTGCAGCTTTGATTCCTAGTCAGGCACATACAAGAATCAACCAATGAATGCATATATAAGTAGAACAACAAATCGATGTTTCTCTCTCTCTTTCTCTCTCTCTTTCTCTCTCCCCCTTCTCTCTCTCTCTCTCTCTCTCTTTCTCTCTCTCTCTCTCTCTCTCAAATAAATAAATTTTTAAAGGAACAGAGAAGTGGTGCTGTTACTAGAGGTGGGGGTGCAATCATGGAGGATATTTTTTTAGGCTAGGAGCTGTTACACCATGTGTGTAGGCTGGCCAGAATAATCCAGGAGAGAGAGGAAATTGATGATGCAGAAGGATGAGAGAGAAGGGTGTGAAGTCCTGAAGGCATCAAGGGGGATGGGGTCAAGTGCTCTGGTGGAGGGTTGACCTTGGGCAGGAGCAGGGAGAGTCCCTCTGAGGAAGGCTGAGCATACAGGTGAAATGATGGGAGCCTTAGGAAGTTTTCTTCCCAGGGCTTCTGTTTTTCCAGGGAAATAGGAAGCAATGTCATCAGCTGAGAGTACAGTGGTTCCAGGGTTCAAAGAGAAAGAGAAGGTGTGAATTGGTCATCCAGAGCCTGCCAGCATGTGATAGGCTCACCAGGTAGCACCTTGGGGTGAGCGGTCAGTTAGGGTGATTAAGTGTCTTTGTTTTCTAGCCACTCCAAGTACAGGTGGGGAGAAGATGGAGAGAGGGTGGGGATTTGTAGGCAAGCAAGTAGTTGCCATGATGGCCCATGAAATCTGGGCCCAGTAAAGAGGGAAGTGAGGACAGGGTGGGGAGGTGTGAGGAACCCTGAAAAAGTGGTAGGATCAATGGATTTTAGGAGAAATTGCTGGTGGAATAGAGGAAGTTGAAAAAGTATGAAGTGATGAGCAGATGGTGGTATAAGGAAATGGAGG